CTGCCACGGGCCATGAGGCTGGTGCCCCTGGGGGGGCCAGCAATGGCACCCCCGGGAGGGGATGTCGGCACTGCCCCGGGGTCTGCTCTGTGGATCAACCCCGACGCGGTTGCTGGTGCTAAGTTGAAGGAAGCGGGATTAGCCCAAAATGTCATAGGTGTGCTCAAAACCCCACTGCCCACAGTGGGCGCCCGCTACATGGCTCCAAGCACAGCACTGTGTCCCCATGCCCCGGCTCTTCCTCCATCCCCTGCCCGGTTCAGAGCTGACGTCCCTGGAGACCCCACACCAGGGAGATTTCCTGCCCCTCGGCCAAACAACACTTTTTTCTTTCATATGTCCTGATTTCTCAGCCTCCCAGTTCCTCCTCCCATCCCTTTTCAGTCATCGCTCTCTAACCGCGAGGGCTGGGATGATCCCCATGGGATCTTCCATGGGAAGATCCCCCGGAAATAACCTGACTCCGGGAGCTCAGGCTTTGGGCAGCAGCAGATCCAGTGGGACTGGGTCAGGCTGTTTTTTCCCTTGCAGTTTTTGATGCCTGTGCTCATCCTCGGCACCTTCCCCTCCGAGGACGTTCCCTCCTGCGTCTTCCTCGGCAACTGGCATTTAATGCCCGAGCCCCTTTGCTGCTTAAACTGTATTTTAGGGCCCCGGCGGGGCGAGCGCTTCTGGGGCTGCAGAAGTCTCGATTACCTGCCCCTTGAATCACAGCCCCTGCCTTAATTCGCTCTCTGATGCCGCTCCTGCCTCTGGCTATTTTTATTAGACTTTGTCCTGGGCTGCCTTTATCTTGACTTTTTTTTTTAGTTTAAGCATAAACCTGTTGTTTGTTTATTTCTAACCACTCGCTTGTTGTGAAGGCACCAGATTAAAGAACCACTTCGGGAATCGTGGTCTCGCTTCTCCCTCCCCACCTCTGCCAGGCGAAGGCTGCTGTTTCCCTGGCTCCAGATGCTGAATCCTTGGGGATTTTCAGCCTGGCCCTGGGCTTTCCTGGCAGCCGAGCCCAAACCCAAGGAACAACCCCAATGGGGTACAAACAGCACCCGCCTGTCCCCCCGCCAGAGGCCAGGCTTTCAAGCTCACCTTCCTTTAACACCTCATTATTGCAACCAGTCCCTGATTTTAGGAGAATTAGTGTTTGTCTTCCCAGCCCCGTTCCCATTGATCCCATTGTGGAGGGGTGGCTTTGAAGCCAGCTCCCGGTACGGCCAGGTGCGGAAAAGCTATTGTCCCCCTGCCCGCGTCGTGATTAGGGCAGGATCGTGGTTACAAGGCGGGAAGGTCATTAAGGGGGATCGCTTCCAGTGGGGAATGTGTCTGTAGTGGGGGCGAGGAGGGGGGTGATGCTTCCTCGCACCTGGAGCTGCCAGAGTTGGGATTTAAGTAGCTGGTTATTATTTGAATGTGTCTCGGGTTTATTTTTACGGGGATGCAACAGCCCTGCATCAAGCCTGATGTTTGACGAGTTGTACCTGGAGGGTGGTTACCAAAAGGAGGGGTGTATTTGCCCGGAGCCGGGGTCCCTGCCTGCATGGCAGTGCCGATTGTGGGGAAGGGGTCCCTGAACCCCCCGGCCGTGCCGCGGTGGGGTGGCCGTGGGAATCTGGGTCAGGGAGATGGTTTTGGTGCTGGAAGGTTGCAGGGCTTTGATGCCGTGCCTCAGAGCAGGGCTAAGCAGATCCCAGGGACAAGGCTGCAGGATACGGCCCCGCTTGGGGCCGGCGAGGCCAAACAACAAAAGAAATTGTTTGTTTCTTTAATGGCTTCGGCCCGGAGCCCAGCTGGGAAGGGAAAGGTGAGAGGGCACCGGTGTGCAAGCCGAGCAGGAGGGCGATGGAGAGATAAAACCTGGGGATGACCGGAGGGCGGTGAATGGGCTCTTTCTCTCTCCTCCTCTATCTCCCTCTCCATCTCCCAGGCTTTATTCTGGGTCTCCGAGGGCTCCCCGGCTAATTACCCCGCTTAGGGACAGGAAGGGGCACTGGGGTGGCAGGCAGGGCCACGGCCCCTCTGTGCGCCTGTGGTGGCCTCAGTGGATGGCAATGCCGACCGCTGCTCCCGCAGGACACGTTTTGGGGGGCCGAGGTGTGAATGCACATCATCACCCCAATGCCCAGCCTGAGCTTCAGCCTGGCTGCCGGGGGTTTGGGGTGCCGGGGGGCTGCCGTGCCCGCCAGAGCTGGGACAGGAGCGGGAGGCGCTTGCCGTGGTCGTGGTTGGATGGAGCCTTGGGTGGGTGCTGGCACCGGTTCCCCGTGTCCCGCCAGCCCCTCGCCCCGGGGGCGCGGGGGGAACAAGCTAAACCGCGAGCAGT